ATAGAGGGAGGGAGAGGGGAGATAGATGGAGAGTGATAGAGGGAGAGAGAAATTGATGTACATTAGTCATTTCCAAAGTTTGCTGATTCACACAACCCACTAACCCTACACCCGGGTTCTTGCAGTTGGAGGAAAACTATTCAGATGATCTCTGGAGTCCCCCCAAAGTCTTCTGTTTTTGGATTTGCTTCATTCCTGTTGTCCTCCTGATGGTTCACACAACCCACAAATCTCCCAGTTCATACAACCCCACTACTAAATCTACACCCGGGTTCTTGCGGTTGTGGGAAAGCTGTATAGATTACCTCTGGAATCCCCCCAAGTGTCTTCTATTTTAGATTTTGCCTCATGCCTGCTGCCCTCCTGATGGTTCACCCAACCCACAAATCTGCCGGTTCACACAACCCCACTACTAAACCTACACTCGAGGTTCTCCAGTTTTGGGAAAGTTATACAGATGACCTCTGGAGTCCCCAAGAGCCTTTTGTTTTGGGAATCGCTTCATCCCTGTTGCCCTCCTGATGGTTCACACAACCCACAAATCTGCCCATTCAAACAAACCCCTTGTAAACCTACATCTGGATTCTTGCAGTTGTGGGAAAGCTCTACAGATGACCTCTGGAGTCCCCAAGAGCCCTCTGTTTGGCCTTTGCCCCGTGGATGTTGCCCTCCCGCCCTCTCTTGAAGATTGTGGGGTGATTTTTCTCAGCAAAACAACTAACAAAGCTGGCTAGAAAGAGGGGAACAGGCCAGGTTCGAGACTCTCCCTTCCAAGGGAGCGGGAACTGCAATTCCCAGCATGCTCAGCTACGCCGCTCAGAATGCTGGGAGTTGAAGTCCCCACCCTTCTAAGAGGATTAGGCCTTCTCGAGTTGGTGCAGCCTTCGGTTTCTATTTTGCTAATTCTCGCCTATTTTTTTCACCGCTGTGAAAAAATTTATGTCTCTACCTCGCACCTCTCCCCAAGCCAGCCTCTGGGCCAGAATTTCTCAACGTTGGCAACTCCAAGTTGCTTTTAAAACTCACATTCAGGTGCTGGGCAGATCATGCCCACAGGGGGGTGGTGCTTGTGGGGAGGGGTCTCACTGGGGCAGTGGCGAGGACGGTTTCTGTGTCCCCGGGGGGATCCCTTTGCTCCCGTAATATTCCACCACCTGCTTGGGGACTTCAGCCAAAACGGTCTTGGCCAGAGCATTGGGGCGAGCCTGGGAATAAAAGACAGGAGAGTGGGGAGGAAGGGAGGGAGGAAAAGAAAGATAGAATGAAAGGAAGAGAAAGAGAGGAAGAGAGAGGGAGGAAAAGAAAGAAGCAAGGAAGGAAAGGGGAGGGGAGGGGAGGAAGGAAGGAGGGAAGGAAGGAAGAAGGGAAGGGAAGGGAAGGAAGGAAGGAAGGAGAAGAAAGGTAGAATGAGAGAAAGGAAAGGAAAGAAGGGAGGGAGGGTGGAAGGAAGGAAAAGATAGGTAGAATAAAAAGAAGAGGGGGCAGAAAGAGAGGAAGGAAAAGAAAGGAGGAAAGGAAGGAAGGAGACAGAGAGAATGGAGGAAGGAACGAAGGTAGAGAGAAGGAAGGAAAGAGGGGAGAAAGGAGACAGAGAAGGGAGGAAAGAAGGAAGGAAAATAGGTAGAATGAAATGAGAGGGAGTGAGAGAAGGAAGGAAAAGAAAGAAGGAAAGAAGGAAAAAGAAGGAGACAAGGGGAAGGGAGGGACGGATGGAGAAAGAAAAGAAAAAAGGAAGGAAAGAAGTATAAAGGAGGGAGGGAGGAGAGAAGGAGGAGGGTGGAGGAAGGAAGGAGACAGAGAATAGAGGAAGGAAAGAAGGAAGGATGGAAGGAAGGACAAGGAGAAGGAAGGGAGGGACGGAGGGAGGGAGGAAGAAAAAAGGAAAGAAATATAAAGGAGGGTAGGAGGAAGGAAAGAAGGTGGGTGGAAGAAGGGAGGAAGGGAGGTGGGAAGGAGACAGAGAGAATGGAGGAAGGAACAAAGGTGATAGAGGGAAGGAAGGAAAGAGGGAAGGAAGGAGACAGAAGGGAGGAAGAAAGGAAGGAAAGACAAATTGAGAAAGAAGGACTGTATATAGACCGAAATTCAAGCCCACAGAACCGATGCTCCAAGCAGGCCTTTAACCCCTCTTGGCGGCCTGGGTAGCTACTCCCACCCCTGGCCAGAAGAGCCTGGCAGAGCCCGCCCCCCCTCACCTTCTTAAACTCCCTCACGGGCACAAACTGCACTATGTCGCGGACGGCCCGGCCCTCCTCCGTCTCCAGCATCCCGCGGTCCCCATTCAGCTCCCGCATGTCAGAGAAGTCAGCGTTCCCAATGCCCACAATGATGATGGAGAGAGGCAGACGGGACGCCCGCACAACGGCATCGCAGGCCTCGGGCATGTCGCTCACCACACCATCGGTCAGGATAAGCAGCACGCGGTACTTCTGCGGGAAGAGGAGAGAGGACGATACCTCAAAGCCACACGGGGCAAATGGGACGAGACCCCCCCTCTGGTGCCCCAGATTAACAGAGTCGGAAGGGACTTTGTAGGTCATCTAGTCCAACCCCCTGCCCAAGCAGGAGACCCTACACCATTTCTGACAGATGTCAGAAGTCCAGTCTCTTTTTGAAAGCCTCCAGGGATGAAGCTCCCATAACTTCCGAAGGCAACTTCTATTCTGTTGGTTGGTTGTTCTCACTGTCAGAAAATTTCTCCTTATTTCTAGGTTAAATCTCTCCTGGATCATTATTAATTATCCATGATTCCTTGTCTGCTTTGGAGAATAGCTTGGCCCCCTTCCTCCTCTCTGTGGCTGCCCCTCAAATATTGGAAGACTGCTATCCTGTCTCCCCTGGTCCTTCTCTTCCCTAGATTAGCCAGGCCCAGTTCCTGCTATTGTTCTTCATATGTTTTAGCCTCCAGTCTCCTCATCGTCCTGGTTGCTCTTCTCTGCACTTTTTCTAGAGTCTCAATGTCTTTTTTATAAGTGTGGTGACCAAAACTGGATGCAGTACTCTAGGTGTGGTCTTACTAAGGCTATTAGTACCTCCCTTGATCTTTCTTTAAATATTTTATTTATACATTTTTCTTTAACCTACGTAAGTGCTTAATAAACATTGTATTGTCTGTGTCAGTTTACTTGTACATAAAGTAATAATATTTTTCACTTGTACCTAATAATAATATTCCAACTTCTAATTTTTACCTCTATTGTCTAACCATTGATAAAAAAAAAACATGTTAAAAAAAAATACTCTGTGTCTTCTTTGTCCTTTATCTTCAACGTTAACCTATCCATTTCTGCATGATCTAGTATTTTTCTAATGATATTTTCATCTGTAGAAATTTCCTCATTCTTCCAGTGCTGTGCAAATACAATTTCCGCTGCTGTCAAGATACGTAGTTTTAAATATATGTTCCTTTGCCATATTTTTCTGGTATTATACCTAGCAAAAATATTTCTGGCTTTAAATCTATGTGTTGCTTTATCATTTTCTCTAACCGTGTGTGTATTTTTGTCCAATTTTTTTTTGCTTTTGGGCAAAAACCTCCCTTGATCTTGATTGTATCCCTCTTTTAATGCAATTTAGGATTGCATTGGCTTTTTTAAGCTGCCACCGCATTCGGCTGGCTCCTATTTAACTGGTTGTCCACTAAGACTCCAAGATCCCTCTCACGCTGACTGCTATGAAGCCTGGTTTCTCCCAGTCTACCCTGTTTCCCCGAAAATAGGAGCTACCCAGAAAGTAAACCCTAGCTTGGTTTTTACATGTGCACCCAATATAAGCCCTACCCCCAAAATAAGCCCTAATTAAGATCCCACCTACTCCAGAGTAGACGGGTAAACATTAAGCTAGGGTGGGGATAGGAGGATGAGGCTGCCCTACTACTTGCCTTTGGACAGTTGTAGCCAGGCCTCACACACTAATGCACACAGTTCTTCTGCAGCCGGCAAGGCTGGCAAGGCTTTCGTGAAGGCCTCTGGAGCTGATAAAAAAGGTCTGGATCGATCCAAAGCTCTGTTATCGGCTGCAGAGGCCTTCAGGAAAGCCTTGCCGGCCACAGAAGAAGCTCCTGAAGGCCTCTGACAGCGAAAAGGAGCCCAGGGACGATGTGCACAAGTGAGGTTATTGGATGACATGCCCTGAAAATAAGACCTGGTACCTTCTTTTTTTGTGTCACAAAAAAAATATAAGACAGGGTCTTATTTTCGGGGAAACACAGTATATGTGTACTTTTGGTTTTTCTTGCCTAAGTGCAAAACTTGATTTTTCTCTCCGTTGAATTTCATTAGATAGGGCCCTAGAGGTCCCACCCCACCCGTACCGTGGGCTTGCCACTTTTCTCCTCTTCGGCTGCAGGTCCTGCCACCTTGTTGATGATGGGTGCCACATTGGTGGGGCCGTACAGCTCGATCTGGGGCAGACAGCGCTTGTAAGCCTCGATCACCCCAAGAATCTCTGCCAGGGAAGGAAAGAAACTTAGATTCCCACCAGATCTGGCACAGGTCAACTTCCCGCCGGGCACTTGCACCCTTCCTCCTTCCCTCCTTAATATTTCCTCTTTCAAAAAATTATCTCTTTCCTTCCTTCCTTCCTTCCTTCCTTCCTTCCTTCCTTCCTTCCTTCC